CCTTATTGTGATAATCATTTCACAACATAGCCATATATCAAATCATCATTCCACAATAAATTGTTATATCAAATCATCACTTCGTACACCTTAAACTTTCACAGTGTTACATGTCAATTATATCTCAATAAAACTAGGAGTGGAAGAAACTTGAGGCTTGGGTTGGGATGTCTGAGTAGATGGACTTGAGCACTTTGAACCCTCGGATTCCCCTGGACTATCTGGGCCTGCAGAAGTGGGCCCCTCTGCCCGTTGGAAGACACAGGCTCAAGACAAAGACATGCATGGACACTGTCAGTAGCAAATGGCTGAGATGGCTGCTGAGGGGTCTGGAAGGAGCAAGCTTAAAAGACTGGATGCAAGAAAGCTTGGGGCAGAGGCCTAAGGGAGTGAGCAGAAATTGGGAGGATTTTTGTATTACATGCTAATAATCCCCGAATAGTATTCAATACAGCCTGAGAGAAGTGTGATGAATAAGGGCTTTGGCGTTGGAGACACCTGCATTCAAATATCTGACTCCGCCCTTCACTGGCTGTGAGACTCTGGGCGCAGGTGCTCGACCTTCCTAAGTGTCATCATCCCCACCCATGAAAAGGAAGTTTTGAGAATTCAATGATGTACACGAAGGACTACATGGTACTTGACACACTGTCAGTACTCGGTAAATGGTAGGTAGTCGTTATTTCATTCAATATGCTCAACAGTCCTAAGAGGTAGGCACAAATAGCCGAGAGTTTCGAATAAGAAACTGAGGCCCAAGAGAATTAAGTGACTTAACCATATTTTCAGTTTATCAAGTTTCAGAAATGGGATTCAAGTTAAGATGTGTTTGGCTTCCAAGTCCATGTATGGCTTTAACACTCTGCCTCAGAATAATTGCATAGAAGTGAGGTAAAGACCGGGGCTTGCTACATAGGGTCAATTCTCTTCCCTTCACAATTCTGAAGGGTTGAAGGAAAAGAAGGTCTATGATCTGACAAGCTCAGTGATTGAAAGTGACCTGACAGCCTGATCTGATTACAGATTCCTAATAGGGCAGGTTAAGATCACAGATTCTTAGTAAGGCAGGTTAAGGCAAGTAGTCAGCCCCAGGCCTATAACTCCCCGGACAGGGTTTTCCTTTGCCTCAACTAAGCCCTATCTATTGTAGGTTAACACACCTTTGAAATGCCAGAGTAATCCTCTTCTTTTAGATTCCTAGCAAGGCTTAACCACCATCAAGGGAGCACATAATCAATTCCAAAGGTGTGAAAGGCAATGCAAAACTCTTCATTCATTCTCTGGAGCATTTGAGATTTCTCTTCCTCCTCAAAGAAACTCATAAAAATCCACTCCAGGTTTGGACGCTCTTATATCATGATACAAAGGAAAGATTGTTCTCCCATTTTATAGATGAAAGAACTTGAGTATCAGAGCTATTACAAGGCCTGTCTAAAGCCTTGTTGAAAAAGGTGGGATCTGAGCTACTTTCTCTGTGCTACTTAAATGTCCTTTTACTAGGAGCAGGACTGGTAATGGGATTCATTTTAGGAAAATTCTATAGGGGAAAAATCCTAAGAAACTATCATTCCATTGTTGACATGAGAACATCTAAACCTGTACAGAATTTTAATGAGTTTATTTGAGCCAAAACTGATGATCACAAGTCCTCCAGAGAATGACAGTTTTGCAGTTTATTTTATGCATTTGATATCAGGGAGGGCATGTAAGGAAGATTACATGAAGGTGGAAGAAGGTGAGGTGGAAACTGGATCACAGGATAGTTGACAATGTAATGTGCTCTCTTGAAGCTTATTTCAAAGGTACGTTAACCTAGATGTCCAAAAACAATAGACAGGGCTTGCTTAAAGCAAAGATAAACATTTTACTACAAAAACTATATGCCTGGGGTGTGACTATCCACCATGACCTGCCAAGTTAGGGATTTATGATCAGATCACCCTTTGAGGTGACTTTCCATAGCACCCCCTTTTCATCCACACCATCAGGGACAGGAGGTTGAGAACAGTTTTAGCCTCCTTAATGCAAAGGACCTTCTTTACCAACCATCAGAAGTTATCTATAGAGTTATAGCCTGGCATGGGACAAATGTGTTTTCTATACAATTTGAACTCTTTTGCTTCCTTGGTATTTACCTAACTTGTCAAGTTTATGATCAGAGAGGTCCATGACCCAACTGTATTATAAATTAATGTATTACTATTATTATTACTTTAATCTTCATCCTAGGATATGTTTACTGATTTAAGAGAGAGAAGAAGGGAGAGAGAGAGAGAGAGAGAGAGAGAAACATCGATCAGTTGCTTCCCATACTTACCCTGACGGGCAATGAAACCTGCAACCTAGGTATGTGCCCTGAGTGGGAATTGAACCCATAAGTTTTTGGTATATGAGAAGGACACTCCAACCAACTGGGAAATCCGGCCATGTCATAAGTTCATAGTAGGTTAAGCACACAGTACAAGTGGCCAACGTGGGAAATCCCAGCAGATACACATTATAGGAAATGTTCAGAAGGTCAGTTGTGCACTGTGGGAGTGCACTTTTTTTTTTATAGGGGACTACCCCCCACCCCCCGAATCTTCTGGATGACTTTAGCATAAATTTATCTAAATTACAGCAAGATGGTTTGGGCCTCTAATTTGTCATACCCTTAATGGGACCTAGCTGGGGTGCTTTAATCTTTAAAGCCATATTCCTTGGACTTGTCCTGCAGTTTTTCCCCGTGTACCCTCTGTAATATTGTGATATAATAAGAGAGATATATTTGGTCTTTGTCCCCATTCCTAGCACAGAGCTTCTGGAAACCTTGCATTTTGTTGAGGGATGAGGGATCTGCTGTTTTTCATAACAAGCCCTTTTTAACTTGAATTTATGCTAATAACTCTTTGAGGGTAGATGCTGCTTGCCTGAGGAACCAAAATCTATGATTAGAGGGTTTAAACTTTTAACCTCACAGTTAGACTTGCAGAGGACTCAAGGTTGAGTTCATCAATAATGGCCAATGATATAATGAAATTCCCAGGAAAAAACCCTAACCAATGGATTTTGAGAGCTTCTGGGTTGCTGAACACATTGAGGTTCTGGGAGGGTGGCACACTGGGAGCGGTATGGAGCTCCTCATTCCCTCCCACCCACCATACCTCACCCTCTGCATCTCTTCCATTTTGCTGTTCCAAAATCATATTCTTAAAAAAAAAATCATATTTTTTATAATAGCAATAAAAGTAAGTAAAGTGTTTTCCTGAGTTCAGTGAGTTGTTCTAGCAAATTAGAAACCATGCAGGGTGTCTTGGGAATCGCCAATTTATAGTGAATTGGTCAGAAGTATTAGAGGCCTGGACTTTGGATTAGTGTCTGAAGTGGTGGGCACGACTGAGTCTTAACCTGTGGGGTCTGAATTATTTGAGTAGTCAGTGGCAGAATTGAATTGCATTGTAGGATGCCCAGTTGGTGTCCTTAGAGAACTGGAGAATTGCTTGGTATAGAAAACTCACACATGTGGTGGATGTCAGTAGTATTTGGGATACAAAAAAGAGCTAATATCCTTGGACTCCATGGTCTTCATCCTTTCCTTTGGGTTCCACCACTTCACCCAAAGAAAGACGGAAGGCTAAAAGGTGAAGTGAAGAAATTAGGATAATTCATTCAAATCAGTTAACCTTTATTCGACATCTACTATATTCAAATGCGTAGAGTTCTTTTTCTCAGTTGGCAGGTCTGTTCAGTTACAGAGATGCAGAGATAAGCTATTACATGATTTCTGATTTCAAAACCTATCTCCAGTCAGTTACAGAGATGCAGAGATTAGCTATTACATGATACCTGATTTCAAAACCTATCTCCAGTGCCTTCAGGGTTTTTCCCCTGGCCTCTTACATTAAGAAACATAAAGCTTGTAGGAGTGGGGGAAGGAAAATTTAGAGACCTTTTATGCCTACAGTCTCACTTTAAAGATAAAAATGTGGTTTAAGTTCACAGAGGTAATCAATTGGCTTTTGTATTGGCATTTCCCTCTGTTAATGTTTATCTTTTTTCTAATGCAATTTTAGGACATCTGAAATATTTCAATATTTCTGAACAAAATTGTAGAATTTATGAAGCTGACTTAGGAGAGAAGCACAGGAACTTGCTTCACAGAGGATTTGGGGATGTAATTTAGCTATGTTGAAGCTATGCATCCCTAACCTAGATATTCATTATTGTTACCTCATAAATTGTTAGGACAGAAACGTTGTACTTAAAACAACAACAACAACAACAACAAACCCTCGCCCTGCGACTTGTTCAACAATAAACGAAACATAACATGAATGACTGAGAGGCTATGTGTGTGATGTGTGGCTATGATTCACTAGTTTTAAGATTTTAATTCAGCGAATCTTTGTTGAAGGTCAGCCAAAGGAAGACTTTGTGTTGGAAATGAAGAGGTTTAACCAGTTTCCACCATTACGAAGATTTAAAGCCTAGCAGGTTAGGGACCAACATGCCACGGTAGAAAGTGATGACTACCCTTTAGCAGGGGTCTGCTCAAAGGGCTATAGGTGCTCCGAGAAGGGAACTTTCCCAGCCCTGGGAAATACTGCATGTGCTAGGGAGAGCTTGGCGCTGCGTATTGGCAATCTGTGTTCTAGAACTGGTTCTCCCTCTGATTTGCCCCGTGACTCGGTGCTAGTAAATCAGGCTTGTAAATTAAACCTCCCGGATTTGTTTTCCAATCTAATACTCTAGGAGTTAGACGAGCCGTCAGTTCTCTGGGACAACGGCCTCTGTGAAATTTCCTCTATCGTTTCTCGCCCCTACAAGCCTCGCTCACTCAGTCCCTCCTGGCCCGGAGGCCAGACGAGGAAATGAGCGCGGACCCTTTAAGGACGCCCTCCACGACGGGAGACCCGGGTGCCCCGCGCCCGGGAGCAGGGGCGGGGCACTGGGGACCTGGGCTTCCCACGCAGCCGGGGACGCCGTCGCGTCACCGCGCTCGCAGCCAATCAGTCTGAAGCCTGTTGGGACGCATTACTACGGCGACGGGCCGGACGCCTCCAGCTTCTGGATGAATTAGCGGCGGGTTCTGCCCGGAGGTTGTGACCCCCGACGGATTCCCCAGCACGCGCACGTGCCCCCACGGTGTCGCACGTGGTCCCCTGATGGTCACAGGTGGGAGACTGGAATTGTCAGGTGGGGGTTACGGCGTGGGGAAAATGGCGGCGGCGGCCGAGGGATCCCCGAGTTGGAGGGGGAGCGGCACTACGGGCTCTTCCCCCTGAGCTGCGGGCCTCTCGGGCTGCTGCCCGGGTAACGGGCACTTGACCGGGAATTGGGATCGCGACACAGCTGGCGGTGTCGCTGGCTCAGGTAAGAGGAGGCACGGGGAAGGGATTCCCGGAGACAGGCGGAGGCGTTGAGGGCCGGGGGGCCGCGCGGGCCGGGTCGCGAGGGCGAGGTGGCCGTGGGATGTGGAGGACCTGGTGTCGCGTCTCTGTTTGCAGATAAGCATCTACACTTTACTGCGCCAGACCTGGGTGGGTCTGGGAGCCGCACCACCGCGAACACAGCCTGAGCGCTACGGTTGTTAAATCACATGTGCAGAGCATCCCAAGAGGCCGCCAGGTGCAAGTCTAGGACGCGAGCTGTCCAGGGCAGGGCTGGAGCTGCCTTATCTGTATATTCTACAGGTATCAGACATCTACCTGTAGGTGCCAGAGTAGCAGTGGCAGAAAAGGAAGGCCTTACTCAGGGGCTGATGGCAAGTGTGATCATTAAGGTGTATCCAAACTTCTGCTTGCCCATTTGAAGAAGGAAAAAGGTGTCGTTTTCGTGGTGTTTGCTTCCTTGTATTTACCTGGTTCCGGTGGATTCATCAGGAGCATTGCATCTGCCTTTGAAACTCATTAACCACCTTGCACATGCACGTGGCAGTAATTAAGACTGAGGCTTGGGATTCAGATTAAGCCCAGGAAAGTGTTGAAAATTAGTTACTGGTAAAGGGTTAATGGAGATGAAATACTGTCTTTACATGTCAGCCACTTATTTGGGCAAAGATATTTTGGGTTAGTTTTCAAAATACTTGAAAACTTGCCTTGGAAGTCCTTTTTGCAAAACATATTTTTGAGGGTAAAAGAAGATAACTCATTAAAAACCTTTTTCCTTTTTTAAGTTTATATGGCCACATTGTACTTCGATGTGACAGATAAGCATAACATTAAGGGCCTTGTCTTTTTGGTAGCAGGCTTGATTCTGTGGAGTGCCTCGTTCTGTTGTTGAGAAAGCACAGTGGCACTTTGTGTTTCGGTCATCAGTAGCTGTTGTCTTTGGAGTGCCTGCTCTGTGTCAGAGGCTTCTCCTTACCGTCTACTCTGAGCAAATGGGGTAGTTCATCAGTTGCCACCAAGTTTTTAGGATGGCTATTGCTGACAAACAAGAGGAAACAGTGTGGAAAACCCAAAAGGATCTTTCTTCCAAACTGGATTGGTGGAGGTTTGCTCAGCTTGGCCAGGGGTTAGGTATCGTTTCCAGTTCAAACTCTGCCACTTAAAATAGCTTAGGAAAATAAGCCTCTCTGTTAGCACCTTACCTCTGAAATGGGCATAGCATGTTTGTCCAATCTCATTATACTGTTGTGAGAAAAAGGAAAAAAGGCTGTATGTGAACAGTTGACATCTATCATGGCACATTTACTCTGCCAGGGACTGTTCCGAGGGCTTCGTATTTGCTAACTTGGTCACCCAGAAACATTGTGAAGTGGGCACTTTTATCATCCTTGTTTTACAGGTAGGGAAACTGAGGCACATTAAAATTTAGGTTATTGGTCTGAAGTCACACAATTAGCATTGTGATTCCAGCTTATGTTCTCAACCACCATGCAGCTGTGTTACTTGTTAAGGGGATATATATGAACAAATTTTCAGTGATTTTGTTTGTGATCTTTTAGTTGTATAAATAACTATGATTCATTCTATTGGCATCCAATAGGGATTTATAGGGTGATGACTACAGTTACTTTAGTTAAGTGGTATTATTCATTCTGTCTTTGATATCCATTATTTTAAAAGGTATTTTAAAACAAAGAGCTGTGACTAATTTCTAACAGGAAGCACCCATCAATAATTAAGGGAGATTTTAGTTTCTGTTACACTCTTTAAAATAATAATTTGCTGGGTGACTTTTAAAAGAGAAGTTAGGTGTATTGCTTTGACATAGCTTTACTAATCTTTTTAGTTTCTACTTACAGAAAAAAAGATGGCATGAATCAAAGTGGCTGGGGCATTCATTTTTTTTTTTTCATTGAACCTTTATGGAATTATCCTACCAAGTCCCTGGAATGTAAAGATTAAATCTTGACCTTGTCCTTGAGGCGTCCAGGGAGGTGCCCTGGGCCTAGAAGCCTGTAAACTAGTGAATGAGATGAACAAATAAATGATCGATGCAGTGTGATGTAGTTGTGGCAGGTGCAGAAGGCTGTGGGACACACACAAGGAAATAGTTGCTTTTGCTGGGGTGGCTCTGCCCAGGAAAGTAAGGGAGCTGACTGCAGATGGGGTAATTCTGCCGTCAGCTCCCTTACTTTCTCCATAAATGGAGAGAGGGCTCCTGGCAAAGGTGGAGGCAATGCAGAGTCAGGGCAAGTGAGAGTGCACGGGTGTCTAGGGGTCAAACTAGAGTTTTGCAGGAGTTGCTGGGAAAGAATCCAGGAAAGGTTAGGGCCAGGCTGGGAATTCTCAGCTAAGAGAAGGACTTTATCCCATAGGCAGTGGGACCTACAGAAGAATCTTAGTCAGATAAATCACTTGGTCAACTTCATGTTCTGGAGAGGTGACTTGGGTAGAAGACAATGTAAGGAAACCACTTAAGGAGGACGGTTTTTGTACTTCAGGCAAGAGATGATAAGGGGGTGAACCAGGGTGTTGGCAGTGTTCAGAGTCCACCACACACATTTTGAATGGATGATTGAGTGGAGAATAATAAGGTGGAGGAGGGGACACCTGCTGACAGTAAAAAGGAATAAAGTGAGTGTTTTGTTTTTTGATATCTATATGGTTAGAGGTTGGTGATATTAACTCATTTAGGAAAAAGGATAGAGCAGGCAGTTCTTTATTACTGGGTTTTGGGAGAATTATAAACCCTTTAAGGTTGTTGGGTCAAATAATATGTAACAAAACCAGGCTTTTAACTTCCTCTAGTTCTCTGATTTCTGAGACTGTAGAAAACTTAACTATATCATCAAAAGTCAACAGTGTCTAGTGTAAAGTTGGCTTCATTCGAGATTGGAGGAAAGCCACACAAAAGGGGTAGGAAGAATTAACTGTCATGGTTGGAGTAAAATGCAAGAATAATGGGTATTAGAGTTTTTCCTTTTTTACATTAAGTTTTTAATACATTTATGCAGAGGCCATTATCATATAGAACTAGCCACAAATGAATTCCCTAGTTATAAAGCTGATGTCCACTGAAACACTCATACCACTGGAGTCGTTGAACACCCCACAATATAAAATGAATGCATTCCCAACCGACTGCCAGGTGGAATGGCACACCTTGCAGAGGAGCAGGATTTCATGAATTCAGAGCAAGATGGAGAACTGCTCAGAAAAAAAGCACTATATGATTCCATTTAATTGAAGTTCAAAAACAGAGCAGCGGTTCCCGTCGGCGGTGGTGGTGGTGATGACTAGGAAGGAGTCCTCTGAGGTGTTGGAAATGTTCTGTATCTCGAGATGAGTGGTGGTTACAGGGGTGTATGCTCATGTGAGAACTCAAGTTGCACACCTAAGGTTTGTGTACTTTACTGTTGTAAAGAGGCCCTAGGGAGAGTTTGGCAATGTTAGGCCAGTTACCTTTTTGATGAGGAAAACCAGCAGGGTGATGATTAGAGAAGTGCTCTTAACATTTTTTTTTTAGAAGTTGTATGAGAGACTCCAGGGGAATAAATTATGAAAGGTACCTCTTTTTTCAAAAGTGACTCTTATTCTATTTTTATTTTTTAATTTTACAAGTTTTATTTTTGTTTACAGAAGCAGAGTCTACTACATTGTTGTGGGTAAAAAATGACATATAATTGTCTTGCAAAAGGCAAATGTGAAGTCAAGTTTGTCATATTATGCTGTTTTACAGTTTGTTCACAAAATTATGTCCCAAGTTCTACCGGTTGATTTGTCTTTTTAGTTTCTTGTCCTAAGAATTTGTGCATAGTTGCAAGTGTAATCTAAACTTTGGTAAATACAAGATGCATCATGAAAATAAATTAAAATTTGTTTCTTTTTTTTGGGAGAACTAATCAGATCTCTTTCTCATCATTATGAAATGGGGTCCCTGTTTAAGAGAAGTCACTGTGTGGCCTTTTCCCCTACTATACCGGTTGCTTTTGGGTAATGAGGACTCGCTATAATTTCTTTGACCGCAAGGTTTCAGATGGTACAATAGAGCTAAGAAAAGCGGTTGGTGGGTTCCCTGTAGCGATGAGATAAAGCTCAAAGCAGGCCTGGGCGGGCTTCAGTCTGATGTGACAGAAAGTGTCCGTCGCATCTCTCTCCCTGGTCCCTGCCATCTGGCGTAGGGTGTCTCCCGGCGATCCTGGGGAGGCAGAGGGAAGGGGACAACCCTGAGTGCGATGATAACCCGCAGTCCTCGGCCGAGGCTTCTGAAAACGTTCATCATTCACTTTCTCCGAGGAAGGAGATTGCTGTTGTAGGGACGATGAGGGGGAGATTTAGGCCACCCTTAGTCTTCCATCTCAAATTGGAGACTGTCCCCATTTTATGTTTATTCAGTATATAGTTAGCCCCCTTGGGAGAACTTGCAGAGCAGGGAGGTAGCGTGTTGGTGAGCTGGTATCCAGTGGTGTCACAAAGCCAATGATGGAGAAAAGATGGGGATAAGGGAATAACGAGGGAAGGGCAGTGAGTGGTGGCGCCCATTCTTACGGCTGTGTGGCTCGACTGTGGAGCGAAAGGGTGGTTTTTAGCCCTGACAGTGACTCTTCCCCCACAGGAATGATTAGGTGTCTTGGGGAAGGTGCCTTTTTCTGTGGCCCCTACTGTTTCTGCTGTCCTCTTGTTGTAATATGAATACTTTCTTAGAATTATTTTTTCTTTATATCATACAGCCTTTAAATAAAAATTTGCCTGTTTGGCCTTAGGAAGGAAAGTGATGGTAAGCAG